AAATCAATAGAATAAACAATACCAAGCTATTTGAGCTGGTTTTATAATGAAAACAATAGTCCTCCTGCACATGTGCTTTCCATCTTATGTCTGAATACTTCATAAATGTTAATGAAAGAAAAGTGTTATTTTTCCCATTTCAGGCATAGGGAATAGAGGCATAGTGAGCTGTGGAGTGTGTACAAAAATTCATGGCAGTAAAAGAAAAAAAGGCTTCTGCTAGGTGGGATAAGGTTTTAAATGTTTTATTTAGTATGTCAGAGGAAATTTCTGAGAGGTGAAATTGAATCCACTTCAAATTTCATTCTTACGCCTTCACTAGCAACCTTTCTCTCACTTTTCAGCTGCCTCCTTCCATATTCTTGATATGTCTGTATTGACAGTGATGTCTTCATTGGACTGCAGAACAAGTCTGAAATCCTCTTGCTCATTAGAACTACCCATGGTAAAACAATGGGCTGAGTGCCCCTTTCTGTCAATATCAGAACCATTTCTGACTGGAGACCAACAGCAATGGAAGCTGCTGCAGTAGTTCTTATCAAATGCTCCCCTTGGCAACAGAGATTCTCAACTGCAAAGCACTTTGCATTATTGATGTAGTACAGCACAATCTTAACAAATTTAATATCTTGTCTTTGATTCTGATATATATTTATATCTGCAGATTTAGTTGTGGTGTTTGGTTTTTTTTTTAAGCTGAAACACTAGAATAGCTTTACTCTTAAAGAAGTCTTAATTTTCTGCTATATATTCTTGGTGAAGTCCTTTGCCTCAGTCTCTTGTGTTTAATTGAAAATTCTTTTGCTGCTGATGTCTGTTCCATGCTCAGTGAAAGGGCAGAAAGGGTCATTATTGAACAGCAGCAGTAGAAGAAATAGAAAAAACTACCAAAACAATCCTGAGTACTTGGCTAGAATATTGCCTTTAAAATTCAATATTTAGAATCCCACCTGCAGAACAGGAATATTCATCTCTATATGGAGTGCTCCACAAAAGCTTTTTAAACATTTTTGTAAAATGAAAAAATATACTTCACCAGATTGATCTTGTGTTTGGATGACTAAATGTTGGCTTGTGATGAGGCTTTGCTGATTTATTTTCATCAAAACACATCCACAGTTTGCAAATGTAATTGTAATGTTCCTATTCAAGTGATATATTAAAAGGAAGAAGGATGCAATAGGTGTGTCAGTCTGCTATTTTGGACAATAACACATAAACTTAATGAGCTACCCAGAATGAAGAAACTTCAGGAATTGCTAAGGAAACAAATTATTGCACCAGCTTAAAAAAAAACCCAACAAAGCAACATTAAATGCACAACCTAAAAGTATGTTTACTGTACCTTGACTCTATCTGTAGATGGCGTGCACAGCACCAGCTCAGGCTATTTCTGCAGTAAGATTTGGAGAAAAAAGCTGGAAATTCTCAAAACTTGGAGAATTTTTAATCTGCAGAATTATTTAGAAAAAGTCTAAGTATTTGCGAATGGTTAGGATAAAATCTAGTGTCTGCATGCGGTGGTTGTGACTGAAACAAGGTATTCAAAAGAATTTATTCATCCAAAAATACTTTAAGGGCCTTCGAGTGTCTTTCTAAAGGTGAAGAGGACACATAACTGTCTGAGACAGTAAGCAGGAAT